TTCTTATAAAACCAACGCTTTTTAAATGTAAAGAATCACATGGTTTACCACTGTTTTCCTCCATTTTAAAATGGCTGCATTTATATTTTCACCCAGTACGTGGGTCGAAAATATATCGAGTAATATAGTAATATATTCTTTCTGAAAAAGGTTACATAGAAGAATATTTGTGGAAGTATAGATATATTATTGTTCAAGCTGAGTTTAAGCGAGTATGGATGGATACGTACCGTTTAACTGCTGTACTTGGCGATCGGAGAATAGTACACCCCGTTGTTGTTGTTGTTGTTAGTTGCGGTGCGCATGCGTGCTTCACTGGTTCTAGTTTTTCAGCGTGTCTTGTCACACTTTAGGGAACCAGACAACATCGGAATACGTCGTAATACAAAAACGACCCCCATGGACCATATAGACCCAACAAGTGGAGTTTTACATTACCTTTTATTTACAACGCAAATTTGGATAAAATCCAATCTAGATGATTTATTATTAGTGGGTCGAAAATTGTTGGGTTCTGGACCCATTAATCGACTTGAAGACCCAACAATCGACTAAAGACCCACTTGTAAGGTCTAATTAAGCTGAAAAGACCCAACATCTTACCAAGTTTAAAACTATATATATATATATATATATATATATATATATATATATTATATATATATATATATATATATATATATATATATATATATATATATATATATATATAATATATATATATATATATATATATATATATATATATATATATATATATATATATATATATATATTCACACATATCTTCACTTACGGGGCCCATATATAAGACCGAGTTGAGTGGCATTATTTCATGCAGTCAGTTTTTATATACGCCACTATATAGGCCTATAATGACATTTCCATACAACAGAACTAAGGGGTACTAATTTATATATATTAACTATATATTTGATTTTACCATAGGTGAAAACATATTGACTAATAACATAAAACCCCATAATAAATATATACATTTGTGGGACATATATCATTTACTACTAAAACCGGCCTACGGGCACTATGTTAGAAGGGTAGCCTACGCCCCATACATCGTTTTAAACATGCCAGAGTTGCGAGGCCTTATGTATGCCCCACATTAAATATACACCCCACAAGTATGGTCTCAAATAGACCGATGCCCGTAAATGGAGGAATGTGTTTGTATATATATATATATATATATATATATATATATATATATATATATATATATATATATATATATATATATATATATATATATACTTATTTATAGTTATCCATATAGAAAACTATTTGTTTCCTCGCTACCTCTCTGCTACTACTGGCTGGAATTCAATGAAAATTTATGGAATACTAAAAGGAAATTTGCATATAGTCGCCTTGTTCCAGTCAGATACTTATAACTCAGATTTATGGCTCTTGATTAGTTATGTAGTATGCATACATCTCATTTGCATTTCCAGATTTTATTATCTAACAAAAAGTTATGGCTCTGTTAACTATTATCAAGTTCAAAGAATATTACTGTTAATGCCATGATTAATATATAAATAAAGCCTTATGTCTTCAGTTGTTGTGTTAATAATAACCAGTACTCGGCGGGGGATATAAATTCAACGAATTTGCTTGTTAAACATTACACTACTGTGTTGTAAAAATACACTGAATGTACTCGTGTGAACTGTAATAAAAGTCAAAGGTGAATTACGAACAATAGGTCGATAGTTTGATTAACGAATGAATTAATCTCGAATATCTCATGTTGTTAAATTATTCTACCAGTTGTCTCTATCTTGTTATTTGATTATATTATTAGTATTAATTATATGATTATGGACTAAAATGTTAAGAAGGGAGAACTGTTGTGTATAACTCTGTTATTCATTGGTCAGAATGTATTACTATTAAGCCCTGCCTACTAACCGTATCCTTAGCATGCCACACACTGTATCAAATCAGTTAATAAACGATAGTTCAGCATTAAAGACGTGTTACTTCTCTATAGAAAACATAACAGCACTTTTTTGCTATTTTTGTTATTTTTGAACAATTTCTTTGGTTCTAACGGTTTTATACAACTTTACAACTTTTTTTTATATATAATAATCATAATAAACCCAGAATGTCGAGCTGGAAGGTTTGGTATACGATGTCAGGAGAACTGCGCATTAAACTGCAAGCGTGGTATTTGCTATCATGTCAACGGTTATTGTAGTAAAGGTTGTAATCCGGGCTATCAAGGAAATAAGTGTACAGAAAGTAAGCTTTCTTTTATCTTGTAGTATTTTTCTTTATATATTATATATTATATGTATAATGTTGTATAATATTTCTATAGTTACGATACGCGTTACATATTGCGAATGATATCGTGTTTTATCAACAATAATTATTCGATATTATCATTTATTGTAATAACACCAGTAAGTTATTAATCCGCTTGTTGCACTTACTTTACACGTTTTCATAAATAGTTTTGAAAGTCGTCTCAATATATGTGGTTTGCTGTAATAAAAGAAACGCTTTTAATTACAACTCTCTTTATTCAATTAAATTTTATTACGATTAAATTCTATCATTGACAAATAGTCAATTAATTATAGAAGTGTATACATTTTACATTATTGTGATGATTCCTTCGACAAAGTTTACTGATAAATTATGTTAAGGATGTGAAAATGGTTACTATGGTGATAAATGCGCAAATCAATGCAATACTAATTGTAAAAAGGGAGACACAATATGTAGACATACAGATGGAGAATGTTTGAATGGTTGTCTGGCAGGATGGAATGGTAAAAAATGTGATTCAAGTAAGTAAATGGAATTATCAAATGTGTTTTCATATTGACTTCAATAAATTGTTTTTCTTAATTTTGTTTTTGATTAAACAAAACTTCAAATTATTTCTGTTTTCTCATGTTCCTTACATCACTACAAAACATTATTCAAATTAAGAATGTTTAAATTTATTAGGAACCTTAATAAAAACTTAACTATTCTTCATGTATATGGAATCCTTAACAAACTTGATTTCTCTTTCTTGTTGCTTTTGTTTACTTCCAAAGTTTCTAAAGAAGAAATGTTCTTTATTCACTGTTTTCAAAAATTGTGGCCTATTGATTTAAATAAATAGATTTCATCCCTCCCTTATGGCAAATCATGTCTGTCGAATTTAAAATTAAATTATCTCATATGTGTCATAGTTGTCAGAGTACTCGGCTATTTTTTTTTCGTGAGTAGTTGCATAACTTATTCATATACAATTACATCTGAATAATGTCAACATTTTATCGTATTATTAAACTAGAAATAAAATTGTGCTGTGCGTAGATGGCCGCCTGTGCAAATTAAAGCAACTTTAGTCCATGCATTATGAAAAGCAATCGCTTCTTTTATATTGTCATTAATAGAATGTATGCCCGGAAAGTTTGGCCAAGGATGTGAAGAGAATTGTCCTTTAAATTGTAATGGCAATGAATGTGGCTATATCGATGGCAATTGTAATGAAGGCTGCAAGCCGGGTTTTCAAGGAAACAAGTGTAAAGAAAGTAAGTTGGTCGCCTTATTATTTTCTTGTCAACCAGCAGCATTGATGTCTATGCCTAATTAGTAAAGGACAGGATATTGCATAAGACAGAGTTATAATTTATGACAAAGGCAATTTTGCATCTTTATTTATTTCCACAAATTGACGCAATAATGATATCATACGTTTTCTGCTTATCCGAGTACAAAGACACAAAGATGAGCTTAAGTAATAGGACTTTGTCTGTCATCAGTTGTTTACCCTTCAAAGTTATCCACAAGTTTCCTTAAACATCCCTTTTTAACCAAACAGCGGATATTTGACTAAACATCATTAGATTGATCATAAGCCGAAATGGATAAATGGACAGTCTGTTGCCTAATAATTCACTAAAAGAAATTTAATGAAATTCTATCATATCTTCTCAGAAACGATTATGGCCAGAGTTTAGATATTTTGCAAGTAGCATCACCTTGTAGTCCTCTAAAAAGTTTTATAAATCATGTATCTTGGCTTAGATTGATTTTTCCTTTTAGTCACTTAGTTTTCTTATACTTATTTATGGAAATTCATTTAAGACTTCTTGTGTGAAATTGCAAGACCAAAAGCTTTGATATTTGGTATGTTGTGATTCCTAGCGAACATATGATATGTTCTAAAACTTTGCAGTGTAGGAAAATGTGACACCCTAATGTGAAAGAGTAACTGAATAAAGCACATATATTACCAATTGTGACCTTTTCTAGCAATGATTTACGATCCAGGGCCGTCAATTTCACTTGAATTTTCAATACTCCGCCAATGAGTTATAAAAGCATTGTAGAAAACTGTAGATCTACATCTATTGTTCGAATACATTAATACAGTTTTTAAATGATTCTAAGTTATTCTCGGACGTGTTGTAAAGCATAAACATACAATACAATTTACAGTCGTAGCTGCATAATTCTATTTTATTACCTTCGATTAAATGCCAGGAGAAATGCAAGTGCTTCTCAGAAAACAACCCAAGATGGCCGTCAAATTTGCTTCCATTTTTAACAATAAAATGCTAAAATGTCTTTATCTAAAGAAACGTTCTCATAATCTGTAATCCAATAAGTTTGCTTTGAAATAAAACTGCAACTGAAGGGCAGGTTCATATCTAAGACAAAAAAATCGCAATAATGTCAAATCTTAACCCTTCCCCCCATGAGCATATTGTGAAAAATGGCCATTTTCACTGAAAAGCCTCCTCTTACAAGTTCAAACTGCTATGAAACTATGAAAAATGCTTCAATACTAATTAGGCACAAATGTTTTCTGGACCATTGCCTTTGTAACGACATGCTCAGTCTTAAATTTCCTGTTACCATGGCAACGAAATGAATTCTCTTTCGAAAAATGTACAATATTAGAACAGTTGGTACGACAAAAGATGGAATTTTAAAGCAAAAATGCACTTTTTGTCTAGGTCGGCCATCGCTTGACCGAGCCGAAAGTAGACGATTTTGAACATAAATCGATCTTTTTCTTAATAACAAACTAATGTCAGTGCATGCAAACTGTTGAAATAGAAAAGGCAGCTATAATACTATCGCTTACCGGTCCAAAGTTAATCCAAAACGTCTGTAGGCACGCACTTTCGGTAGTTATTTGCACTAACTTTTTAAATTCCCTGACATTACATGTATACAAATGCTGACCCGGATGTACCTGATGCGTACCGCTTTTCGCAAAATAAAAATTGAGCGAAGCTGGGTACCAGCGGGAACCGAGCATGCGTACCTTGAATATCCGGATCAGAATTTGTATACATGTACAATGTCGGGAAATTTAAAAAGCTAGTGCAAATAACTACTGAAAGTGCGTACCTGCAGACGTTTTGGATTTACTTTGGACCGGTAAGCGATAGTATTATAGCTGCCTTTTCTATTTCAACTGTTTGCATGCACTGACATTAGTTTGTTATTAAGAAAAAGATCGATTTATGTTCAAAATCGTCTACTTTCGGCTCGGTCAAGCGATGGCCGACCTAGACAAAAAGTGCATTTTTGCTTTAAAATTCCATCTTTTGTCGTACCAACTGTTCTAATATTGTACATTTTTCGAAAGAGAATTCATTTCTGCGTAGATTGCACTTTATTTGGTGAAAATTGGTTGACAATTAACAAAGATCTGGGAGGTAACATAAGGCCTGGTGGTAGGTCCGCTGGCGAACCTTTCTACCTTTACTATATTAATAGTATATATGGATGATTTTTTTAAAAAACAAATTTTCTTTGTTGATTTATTGAAAATAAGATATTTTAAAAACATTTTGAATAAAAAAATGTTTTATTAATAAGAAAAAAAATATTTATAAAAAAATAAGTGGGCGTGGTCATGTACATGTATACTATCCTAGCCACGCACCGATTGCCTGTGGTTTCAATATATGACCACCAAGTATATTTTCTTGAGTCCAGAATCCAACACATGTCAATTGTTAGAGTTTAATGTAGTAGGTAACTTTTTTGACAGAACAAGAATAATTTCAAAGGAAACCTGACACGGCATATTTAATTGATCTAAGAGTGGAAATTTAATCAGATAATACTTCGAAGGATCACATATTTCCGGATATTAATACAACACACTAGCAGGTGATAAGTGCCATTTGGCAGCCGTAAATCATTTCCCCATACTTCACTTCAGTGTTGCTATATTTTTATGTGGTTCTTTTGGGATCATTGATTCCAGCACAATAAGTGATGGAGATTGAGTACCGCTCAGAGGGTGCTAGGGGGGCGTGAGATATGATGCGCTTTTCATGATCCCTCATGCAAGACTCAATCTGCAATATTTCTGATGTTAGTGCTAACTTTCCAGACTTATGCTGAACCCTGAACTAAAGTAATGTTTTAAATTGTCTTTTATTTGAACAAGTTGGAGATTATTTAGATTGAAATCTTATTTGTTTACTATTTATTATTCCGAATGTAACAGAATGAAATATAGAAAATTGTCTAAGTGTTGTATTGAAAATATTTATTCTTTTTAAGTACATTTGATATATCGTGTATCTTTTTGCATTTTTTTTTGTTGGATTTTTTTTGTTAAGCATATCTTTCAAAATGATATTTAGATTGTACAATCGGTTCATTTGGGGACAAATGCGGCAATAATTGCAGTGGCAACTGTGTAGGTGGAGATATAATGTGCAGAAATATTGATGGACATTGTTTGAACGGTTGCAAGACAGGGTGGAATGGAACAAACTGTTTCTCAGGTTTCAAATTTTAAAATATTTTATATTATTAAAATTGACTAAATATACTTTTTTTCGTATAAAAGCATGAAATAACATGACTTATAGTATTTATTCGTTTTCATCTGAAGAAAAAAATCTGGTATGATTTTTCGTACTGGAAGTCTTGTTTTGCTCGAGTTGCAACTCACAGTCACACATATTCATTTCACTTCTTTTTCTTCTTTTTTTTAGAATTTCTTTACACCTTTTACAAAATGTTTATGCTAAAATATTTCATATTATTGTGCTTTTCACACTTTATGATAAAGTAAAGTTTCTCCTCAATCACCTTGTGTGCCTGTAAGAAAACAACCAAGCACTATTAGTTATATCGATATAGCCCATCAGACTTGCACAGAATTTTTAATGATTATTTGTAATGTGTTGTTGTTTCTTTTCTTTACACACATTATTCAAAAGTTTATAAGATGAAATTTATAATGTTACAAATTATATTCTAAGAATGTGACATTGGGTTTTACGGTGAAAACTGCTCATCAGTGTGTGGTAACTGCCAGCTTGGAAACAATTGTGACCACGTGACTGGTACTTGTCATGAAGGATGCAAAACGGGTTACAGCGGCGCCACCTGTTTACAAGGTAAATATCATTGATAAATGTTTATGTTGAAAGCAATGATTTGTTTAACAGCCAGCATAGTGAATACAATTTTCTTCTAGCAATTCAGCTCTAATCGTAGTATCACAGCTTTATTTTTCTTCCCATACATGTTAAACAATAATTCAAAATAATATACTGTAAGAAATATATTTAATTACTTTAAAGGATTACTAAATTAAACCAGAACAATATATGTAAATTTAGTTATCATCTGCACTAGAAGCTTACTTTGTATTACAATGTACCGTGTAAGCGAATATATGTCAATAGTTTTAGTCAGGGGCATTTCAGTTGATACACAAATCTATTCATTTTTAGCAGTGCAATCGTCAAATAGTTCGGGTGTGATTGTGGGAGTAGTAGCGGTGTTTGCCATCATAATCATGATTTTGATAATTGCTTTTATTTTGCATAAGCGACACAGTCAGAATAAAAGGTATTATTATGTGCTTATAACTTGACCTGTACTTTATATATTCGCGTAACTACCGGTATTGACCAATTTAAGTGCGAAACAAACCACTTTCTCATATAAATTCAAAACTTCAATATTTTCTGATATAGTATAAATAAAGTACGTTAAACTTTGTTATTTGAGATATGGAAGTTTTCTCTTCTGTAATATATCTTGAAATGAATAGCTGTAACAAGAGTTGTAGATTGTGTATATGTTTAAAAAGCTCAGTTTTATTGAGACTGTATAGTTGCAAAAATATGGAAAATCAGGACTTACATCGATTTATCAAGAAACTTGGAAATTTTAGAAGGACGAGGTCGAAATATTGAGAGAAAGACAGACGTTATATAATACATTTTGATTATTATTTTTCCTTTCAGGAAAGATGTACAAAGTGTTGACGTGGAGCTCAGAGATGCTGTTACCACAGCTAGCCCCCGAAGTCAAGGACTTAGATCTTACAAAGGAAGTAGGCATGCAAAGACAGGTAAAACTTTATTCAACGGTAGGCCTGTATATCAAAATTTTGATTTCAAAATGATCATGTGTTTAAGTAAGTAATTGTTTTGAAAACAAATATCAAATTTGAGTGCGTTGTTACAGAATATAGTCACGAAAATCGGTAGTACTTTTATTGATCAATTACAAATAATGTACAATTTAATAGTACAGCACACGATTTTGTTTTATTCTATGCTTATTGAAAACTGAATAACATTGAGCGCAAGAGTAATTTTACGGATGTCATTTTCTTAATTGACGTCAGAAACTTCTATGACAAGAAGGCATTCTTTTTCAATGCCGTGATTATATCGTATAATAAAGCACTCGATTGTCCTATATGTTTAACATGGGATATAAATCTTTTACAAACGGAAAAAGATTTTGTTTAAAAAACTGATCAAATACGTTATTCACAAAATCTGATTGTCATTCAAGCAGAGCGTTTCAACAGTGTCATTATTTAACGCGCATGGATAACTTGTATGTACGAAAATTAAATAATAATGTATTCTAACAATTTATAAAACATTTTATTATGCCCCCGCCATGTAATGGCCGGGGCATATAGTGTTACCCTGTTCCGTCCTTCCGTCATTCCGTCATTCTGTCATTCCGTCATCATCAGTTTCCGTTCATTATCTTAGTAACGGTTGCACATATTCAACTCAAATTTGACATATGGATATGTCATGAGAAAATACAGATCAGGTTTGAATTGGTCATGGTTTGATGATTTTTGGCAGAGTTATGCCCCTTTTACTTTGAAAATAATATGAAATTTTCAGTTTCCGTTCATTATCTTCGCAATGGTACAACACATTCAACTTAAATTTGACATATGGATATGTCATAAGACAATACAGGTCAAGTTCGAATTTGGTCATGGTTCGATGATTTTTGGCAGAGTTATGCCCCTTTTACTTTGAAAATAATATGAAATTTTCAGTTTCCGTTCATTATCTCCCAAACGGTTGCACATATTCAACTCAAATTTGACATATGGATATGTCATAAGAAAATACAGGTCAAGTTCGAATTTGGTTATGGTTTGATAATTTTAGCAGAGTTATGCTCCTTTTACTTTGAAAATAATATGAAATTGTCAGTTTCTGTTTATTATCTCCCCAACAGTACAACATATTCAACTCAAATTTGACATATGGATATGTTTTTGGAATGCCCAGGCCCAGTTCGAATTTGGTCATGGTTCAATGATATTTGGCAGAGTAATGCCCCTTTCACTTTGAAAATGATATGAAATTTACAGTTTCTGTTCATTATCTACCCAACAGTGTTACATATTCAACTCACATTTGACATATGGATATGTCAAAGGAATGGGCAGGTCAAGTTGGAATTTGGTCATGGTTCGATGATTTTTTTGGCAGAGTTATGTCCCTTTCACTTTGAAAATAATATAGATTCATCTTAGGAATAAGTAGTTTAAGTTTGAATTTGGTCGTGGTTCAATGATTTTGGACAAACTTATCTTTTTTGAATATTGGAAAAATTTTGAAATTTCAGTTTCAGCACTCATACTTTTGTGGAAATGTATGTAGCCATTATTTTGGCTACAAATATGAAATATGCTATTTTCAAAAGGTTAAGACTGAATAATTTCAGTGCCTTGAACATTGTATGGAAATGGTTTGTGTTAACATTGAAAAGTTTTAATGGCTTTGAACTTAAAATGAAAACAATAATTTGTGCAAACAAATTTGGAACTAAATATTATAACATCTGAAATTTTGGCTGCATGCGGGGGCATCCGTAGCATGATGACACATTTCTAGTTTAAGGTATTTTGCTAAGCTTTGTATTATATTGATATATACGAATCTTTGTTTTGTACTATCTCGGTTTATAAGGTATACTTGTCCGCGTTCATATTTTTATCTCCTTGTAAAGCAAATCTCCAGCAAGTTTAGATTTTAGAATTTCCTTCCGATGTGACAAGTGTTGCGTGGCAGCTAACAAATATGGTCCCGTGCTCTGTTCTTCTTGTCCAGGTTCTTTTGTTACGAGCCAGGCGTAACGAGAAAGAAAAGCCAGCAACAAACTTGTAACAATAACAAATTTATTACAGAAAAATTATTAAAGAAAAATAAAATAACAAATTATCTTTACAAATACCTGAAGTCCAAATAAAAATTACAAATGTCTAGTCTG